AGGTAATTTGTCAAGGGACAATTTTTTCATATCCCAATCTGTTTATATCTACATTTTTATCACTCTATTTCACGCTGTTTATCGTTGTATCGTTGTATCTCTTTCTATCTATCTATCTATATATTAAGAAATGGACAAAGTCCGACAATTTATTTCTTAAAGACATTTTTATGTTTAACGTTCTTTTTTTTATAGATACAAGTATTTAAGTAAATGCTCTGTTTATAATAAACAGTATTACATAACATTTACCGGCCTGAATGTCCGAGAAATTTTCATAGAAAATATTCGTCCTTTGACAGGATTCGAACATGCATCCTATACGGAACCGTCATTTACGCTGACGTGCCTTAACCGACTCGGCCACAAAGGAGCGTTCTCTATCTATCTATCTACCTATGTATGTATGTATGTATGTATGTATGTATGTATGTATGTATGTATGTATGTATGTATGTATGTATGTGTTTGTTTGTATTGATCTACCTGAGTTTGTTCATATCTATCTAAGTTTGTTCATACATCAGTCTGTTCACAACCGTATTTTTATCTATTCCACTCTGTTTATCTATCTATCTATCTATCTATCTATCTATCTATCTATCTATCTATCTATCTATTTCATTTTGGTGCTTGTTCACATCTGTCCCTTTATCGATCAATTCCAGTCTGCTTACCTATCTAGCTAGCTAGCTGGCTAGCTATTCCAGTCTGGTCATCTTTCTCTCTTTCTCTCTCTGTCTCTCTATTTCTTTCTCTTTCTTTCTGTCTCTTTCTTTCCCTCTCTCCCTCTTTCTCGGACTGTCTATCTATCTATCTATCTATCTATCTATCTATCTATCTATCTATCTATGTGTTCTAGAGTGGTCATCTCTCTCTTTCTTTCACTGTCTCTTTCTTTCTTTCTTTCTTTCTTTCTTTCTTTCTTTCTTTCTTTCTTTCTTTCTTTCTTTCTTTGCATATCTATCTATCTATTTATCTATCTATCTCTTTCATTTTGGTGATATCTTAGTCTGTTCACATCTGTCTTTCTATCTATTCCACTTTGTTTATCTATCTATCTATCTATCTATCTATCTATCTATCTATCTATCTATCTATCTATCGCTTTCATTTTGGTGATTGTTCACATCTGTCCCTTTATCGATCAATTCCAGTCTGCTTACCTATCTAACTAGCTAGCTGGCAAACTATTGCTGTCTGGTCATCTCTCTCTCTCTCTCTCTCTTTCTCTCTCTGTCTCTCTATTTCTTTCTCTTTCTTTCTGTCTCTTTCTTTCCCTCTCTCCCTCTTTCTCGGACTATCTATCTATCTATCTATCTATCTATCTATCTATCTATCTATGTGTTCTAGACTGGTCATCTCTCTCTTTCTTTCACTGTCTCTTTCTTTCTTTCTTTCTTTCTTTCTTTGCATATCTATCTATCTATTTATCTATCTATCTCTTTCATTTTGGTGATATCTTAGTCTATTCACATATGTCTTTCTATCTATTCCACTCTGTTTATCTATCTATCTATCTATCTATCTATCTATCTATCTATCTATCTATCTATCTATTCTAATCTGATCATTTATTGCTCTCTTTCTCTTTCGTTCTCTCTCTCACTTTCTCTTTCGTTCTCTCTCTCTCTCTCTATCTCTCTGTCTCTTTTGTGGTTCTCTGTTTTCCTATCTATGTATCTATCCTCATTTTTTTGGCTCTTCCCTTTCTTACAAAGTTATCATTACCGGTTCTATCTTTTCAAAATCACTATGCCAAATCCATTCCACTCCTTCATTTTACATCCACCTAATTTCTCCCCCACACCCTCCTTTTCCGACATTTCCCGCTTCTTATTTTCTTTTCCCGCCAATTTTGACCGCTGACCGCCATCTTCTTCTAATAATAGCCCGATACCGTGCCAGTAGCTAACGTACCATAGCGGCCAGCAATAACACAGTGTAATAGTATTCTGATTTGTAACAACACTTCTGTCACAGTGGCGCAATAACCGAGCCCAGTTGGTCCCGCCCACTAAGCGGCCAATCTTAACACGCCTTCCTCGTCCCTGCTTCCTTTTTGGCCTGAAAGTTATATATTCCTATTTTCTCTCTCTTTTCTTGATATTACCAAGTCTTTATCCATCCATTCTCCACATTTATTTGCTTTCTTCTCTAGCGCAAATGTTTCTTAATAAACGTACCAATGTTGGACAATAGACAAGCAATTATCTTTTCTTTCGAAGGTCGATTCGTTAGAATATCATTCGATGCAAACGCAGTTCATAAAATTGGGACGAGGGAAGAAAAAAACGTTCATTTTAGAAACAATGTCTTTCAATGAAATATCGATAAAAGGCACAACGTGTCGTTTGCTTAAGTCAGCTTGAAAAGAATGGATCTAATTTATCTTTATTTTTAGTGAACAAGGTTGAATCAATAACTTCGTAGCCTGACACATATCTTCTTTCACTGCGTAATGCTCAGGATATGCAATTAATATTCGTCACGGAATTAAGTGCATTGACATGGAATGAAATCATGATGAATAATAAGTGTTTGCGGAAAATAAATACATTATTCATCGTTAGGCAACAGAGTTCCTGAATCACAAACGTTGGGGGATCGATACGTCCATAATTTGAAACAAAGATCTTAGCTGAATTTTGATATGATATTTTCACTGTGCCATGTCTCAAAAAATGGCATTGGAACTAATGCTGCAAAAATAAAGCTAGAACGCATAACGATTCGGGATTTTTTTTCTCCTTCGAAATACTGCCATTCTGAAGCCATATACTTCATCCAGTGTCGTTTTCATTGATGCTGACCTATCTGGACTGGAGCAGCACAATCTTTACTTGTTACTCTTGAAAGAACTCAAAAGTGTCCCACGTTGCCTTGTGGGTGTTGAATTATTTTCCACCTTGCAATCTCTTTCCACAAACCGAAACTAAACTATCTCTATTTCTGTAGCAAGTGGTCTAACGAGCTAAATTCGTTGGTTCCATCAGTCCAGATCTGGGATACGACATACACAAGGATGAATTATCCTCATTCTCTTCGTATTCCATTAGTAAGGAGGAAGTTCCACTCGGACAGCTTCTTCCCAAGAACTACTGTTTTGAGGAACAGTCTCTCGGAAGGATGTTTTCCCGATCACTACAATCTCGAATTAATCGTTATCTTCCCTATCTAACCTTAGGAACGTCACTTTTTGCCTCTTTTTTTTAGGGGGGGGGTGATGTCAACGAACACTCGTTGTCACTTTTGTCATGTCAACGAATACTCGCTGTTACTTTCGTAATGCTCCTTGTAGTCTTAGAGACTTTGTAATCGCAGATACAACTATAGTAACGCCGTTGAACAATACTGGTGTCAGACGCCTTCGAATAACACTTGCACTAATAGTACTTGCTCGATAATACTCGCTCGGAAAGTAACCACTGAATAGTGATCTGAATAGAGAAATAGTATAGTGAATAGAGTAAATAGCGGTGTGTATAGTAATCTTACTTATTATAAAACACAGATTGTGTGTGTTTGTGTGTGTATGTGTGTGTGTGTGTGTGTCTGTACGTTTATATATTGGATCGGATTTTCTCCATTTTTCAACCGATTTCAACAAAACTTCACTGGATTACGTAAAATTACCTTGCGGTGGTTCTGACAGCGCCAAAAATTGGAAAAACACAATTGTTTTTGCACGAAATCAATTTGAAAACACGATTCTGTCGCCAGAATGAAAGGGGGACAACTCATATCGAGTTATACTTATTATAAAACCCAAGTTGTTTGTGTGTGTTCGTTGATATATGGGATCGGATTTCCTACATTTTTCAACCGATTTCAACAAAACTTCACTTTTTTTTGGCAGATAGTGTTTCTTATTGTCTTGCACACTTTTTTCTTTATTTTTACATTCAGAATGCTTTAAAAATTCCATTTACATGACAATTGTTTATAATAAAATTCTATTCAATCGATAGACTCATAACGATTGAAAACAATGTTTTTGTTTGAGTTTGGGTTTGACCAATTCGAAAAAAAGCTAAAAAACAAAACAAAAAAAAAATAATTATGACATGCGTTTTCGTCAACCTTAAACAATAATCTTTGTCAATTTTATTTTTCAGTCTTTATGATGGTCGATACTTGATCTATCTCTTATTGTTACATCCCCGGGTAACGCCGGGCTCTACTGCAAGTAGATGATAAAGTAGAAATGTCGATCCGTATATTAATAGAGGATAGACTAGAAATAACGATCAGTTAGACGTAAAGCTAATTCCTACTTATGCGTTTTCTCTATGGTCACGTGGTCTACGTAATTCAATAAATGGGACCGCGTGTGTTTGTTCACTGGCGATCTATGTTTAAACTCAAAACTCTAAACAGCGGCACTTTATTCTTATATAACACTTTTCTTACATTTCTATAGCGCCACACATTAACCTTCTACCTTCAGTGACTCTTGGGCCTTGTATTGGATTAAAATTAGTAAAAGATACTTCTACATATTCTACATATCCCTATCCATATTTATTTTCTCCTTATTTTTCTTATTTTTTTCTTTCTTTCCAACAATATATAGTACATCTTTCTTTCGCACAACATATGAAAAAAAATCTCTCCTTTTTTTTCTTTCATCTTCTACCTTTCGTTCTTGTATCTTTCTTTCTTTTCCTCTAAGAATATCTATTACTTTTAATTAGTTTTTTCTTTTTTGTTTCTTTACTTCTCTCTTTTTATTCCTTTCTTTCTTTTTTTTTCTTTATTTTTCTTTCTCTATTTCTACGTTTTTCTGTCTGTCTCTTTCTTTTTCTTTTCTTTCATTTGAGAAGCTACGAAATGTAGAAAGAAACTGTTTGGTGAGGAAATAAGTGACGAGACTGAAGTGAAAAAGAGAGTAGAGGGCTTTGTGTTACTTTCTTTTGTCTTTTTTTTTCTTTTGTTTTTTCTTTCTTTCTTTTCCAATAATACGAATTACATATTATTTTTCTCTCCTATTTTCTAATATGCAAAATATATATTTCGCTTTCTTTTTTCTTTCTTTACGTCTTTCTTTTCCTTCTTTCTTTCTTTTCTTTCTTTCTTTCTTTCTTTTTATAGCTGTCTTTCTTTCATTTTCGTTTTTTCTATCAGTTGTCTACAGTTTTTCCTTTTCTTTTATATGCATCCTTTATCACTTCTCCCTCCATCTCCTCTTTCATTCCTTTCACCCTTTTCACTATATATTTTCTCTTTTCTTTCTTTTTGTTATTCTTTCCTTCTCTCCTTCCTTTTTATTGGCTTCCCCCCTTCTCCCGTTCTCAGCTTCTTTTTCTATTTTGTCTTCAGCTACATCTTCATTTAAACATGTTTAGCGTCCGTCTTTTCACTTTTCACCTTCCCGCTGATTCAGCGAAAATTTTTTCCACTACAAATACCATTACAGAGATAACGTGGTCACGATTCTGTTGGCATTCCTTTCGGCGATTAACGCTATCTATTAGTGCCGGCCCTGGGCTTATTTCTTTTCTCCCAAAAGTCTATGAGTAGATTTTTCTGTAGTGTGCTACCATAGATTTAATGTATTCATCCACACGATCTTCAGACTTCAACTTTTTCTGTCTTTTTCTTTTGTGAATATCTTTACTACAGATGATAGATTTCAGGCGCTATCATGTCCTAGCATATGCAATATGTTTCTTTCTTTTTTAACGTTCTACCCCCTTGTCTCTTGTGCCTTTCTCTATCTAAATTATGTTTTCTTTCTTTTGTCTACCCTTTATTACTTATCTCAATAGTACGATTCTTCTTCTTCTTCTTCTTCTTCTTCTTCTTCTTCTTCTTCTTCATCTTCATCTTTTTCTTTTTCTTCTTCATCTTCTTCATCGTCGTCTTTTTCTTCCTCTTCTTCATCATCTTCTTTTTTCATTATCTTCTTCTTCTTCTTCTTCTTCTTCTTCTTCTTCTTCTCTGTGCCGTGTCCCTTCCGTACATAGGCAATCATGGCTCTCCCTAATTTCCTGTTCTTGCAAACTCTTTATAAACGTTTTTTTTTTTTTCTAAACCTTACTCCGCCATCCATTTGCCCAAGATCGCTGGGCAGATTATGATTTGTTTCCCTCTGTTCCTCTTGCCTTAACATCTGCCTCGTGAATATCAAATTTTCCAGTCCTGCTTTCCTCATTATGTGCGCTAAAAATTTCAACTGTCTCCTCTTGATGTTAATTATAAGTTTCTTTTTTGTTTTCATTTTCTCTAAGACCTGGTCGTTGCGTATATGTTCGGTCCATGGTATCCTCAGCATGCTTCTGTAGAACTACATTTCTTTTGCTTCAAGTGTCTTCTTTAGCTGTGAGTGGATTGTCTAGCATTCGGTTAGTCGGTTAATTATTTTCTCTTTCTTTCTTTTTTCCTGTCTTTTTTCTTTCTTTTTTTCTTTTCGCTTTTTACTTTCCTTTTTCTTCTATTGTTTTTTTTTTTACTTTCGATTCTTTGGTTCTCTCTTTCTTTCTTTTTTTTTCTATTTCTTTCTTTTACTCAGTTAATTATTCTTTTTCTTTCTTTTTTTTTTTCAATGTCCTTTCTTTTTTCTTTCGCTTTTTCTTTCATTTTTTTCTTTTTCTTTGCTTCTTTTTCTTTTAATTTTATTTTCGATTCTTTTAATTTCTCTTTCTTTCTTTTTTTTTCTATTTCTTTCTTTTACTCAGTTAATTATTCTTTTTCTTTCTTTTTTTTTTTCAATGTCCTTTCTTTTTTCTTTCGCTTTTTCTTTCATTTTTTCTTTTTCTTTGCTTCTTTTTCTTTTAATTTTATTTTCGATTCTTTTAATTTCTCTTTCTTTCTTTTTTTTTCTATTTCTTTCTTTTACTCAGTTAATTATTCTTTTTCTTTCTTTTTTTTTTTCAATGTCCTTTCTTTTTTCTTTCGCTTTTTCTTTCATTTTTTTCTTTTTCTTTGCTTCTTTTTCTTTTAATTTTATTTTCGATTCTTTTAATTTCTCTTTCTTTCTTTTTTTTTCTATTTCTTTCTTTTACTCAGTTAATTATTCTTTTTCTTTCTTTTTTTTTTCAATGTCCTTTTTTTTTCTTTTTTTTTCTTTCATTTTTTTTTTTTTTCTTTTTTTCTTTTAATTTTATTTTCGATTCTTTTAATTTCTCTTTCTTTCTTTTTTTTTATTTCTTTCTTTTACTCAGTTAATTATTCTTTTCTTTCTTTTTTTTTTCAATGTCCTTTCTTTTTCTTTCCTTTTCTTTCATTTTTTTCTTTTTCTTTGCTTCTTTTTCTTTTAATTTTATTTTCGATTCTTTTAATTTCTCTTTCTTTCTTTTTTTTTCTATTTCTTTCTTTTACTCAGTTAATTATTCTTTTTCTTTTTTTTTTTTTCAATGTCCTTTCTTTTTTCTTTCCCTTTTTCTTTCATTTTTTTCTTTTTCTTTGCTTCTTTTCTTTTTAATTTTATTTTCGATTCTTTTAATTTCTCTTTCTTTCTTTTTTTTTCTATTTCTTTCTTTTACTCAGTTAATTATTCTTTTTCTTTCTTTTTTTTTTCAATGTCCTTTCTTTTTTCTTTCGCTTTTTCTTTCATTTTTTTCTTTTTCTTTGCTTCTTTTTCTTTTAATTTTATTTTCGATTCTTTTAATCTCTCTTTCTTTCTTTTTTTTTCTATTTCTTTCTTTTTTCAGTTAATTATTCTTTTCTTTCTTTTTTTTTTCAATGTCCTTTCTTTTTTTTTTTCCTTTTTCTTTTCATTTTTCTTTTTTCTTTGCTTCTTTTTCTTTTTTAATTTTATTTTCGATTCTTTTAATTTCTCTTTCTTTCTTTTTTTTTTATTTCTTTCTTTTTACTCAGTTAATTATTCTTTTTTTTTTTTTTTTTTTTTTTCAATGTCCTTTCTTTTTTTTTCCTTTTTCTTTCATTTTTTTCTTTTTCTTTGCTTCTTTTTCTTTTAATTTTATTTTCGATTCTTTTAATCTCTCTTTCTTTCTTTTTTTTTCTATTTCTTTCTTTTACTTAGTTAATTATTTTACCTCTCCCTCTTTCTTCTCTTCTTTCGTTTTTTTTTTTTTGCCTTTTCTTTCTTTTTCGTTTTTCGTTTCTTGTTTTTTTTTATTTACTTTCGATTCTTTTACTCTGTCTTTCTTTCATTTTTTATTACTTTTCTCTCCCAATTTGTCTTTGTTTCCCTTTTCCTTCTCCCTTTTATCACTGTTTTACCCGGATTTGCCCTTTCTCTCCATTAACTCTTTGTCTTTCTATTTTCATTTTTTTTTTTTTTTTATTTCTCTGAATTCTTTGGTTATTTTTGTTTGTTTGTTTTTCTGTTATTCTTGTTTTTTGACAGGTGATCACACTCAACGAATCATGACAGACCAATTTTCTTGGTGAAATTTAATGAGTGTCAAAAATAACGCTTATTTATAATGTAACCATATCGTTAATGATAATAAACCATATGAAGTATACAAGTGAAGTGATGAAGGGTTCTAGCGACGATACCCTTCCCAAATTCTTTAAACAATTTTCTGTAACTTTACTAATACCATGTAATTGATATATTTCCCTTTTATTTTCCTTCTTTTTTGCATTATATTTCCCTACATTTCGTTCATTTATGTTTTCTTCTTCATAAAAATATATTTTATATATATTCCTATCATTATTTCTTTTTTCTGTATTTGAAGCAATATGTTTTACGTATCTTTTTCTTTCTTTCATTTTCCTTTTTTTAATAATACTTTATAAATCTCTTTCAATTTCTATCTTTCTATTTTTTTTTCTTTCTGTCTTTTTAAGAAAATAACAATATATAATAGATCATCTTCCCTTTATACAATCTATCAGTTTTCTTTCTGGTTTTTTTCTTCTTTCTAACAACTAATATTATATTGCGTTTTTTCTCACTTTTTCTTTATTTCCTTTCTTTCTTTTCTTTTCCTTTCTTTCTTTTCTTTTCTTTCTTTCTTTTTAAGAAAATAACAATATATAATAGATCATCTTCCCTTTATACTTTATATCAGTTTTCTATCTGTTTTTTTTCTTCCTAACAACTAATATTATATTGCTTTTTTTCTCACTTTTTCTTTCTTTTCTTTCTTTCTCTCTTTTCTTTCTTTTCTTTCTTTCTTTCTTCCTTCCTTTCTTTCTGTCTTTTAAAGAAAATAACAATATATAATAGATCATCTTCCCTTTATACGCTCTATCAGTTTTCTATCTTGTTTTTTTTTCTTTCTAACAACTAATATTATATTGTCTTTTTTCTCACTTTTTCTTTCTTTCCTTTCTTTCTTTTCTTTCTTTCTTTCTTTCTTTCTTTCTTCCTTTCTTTCAACCAATGAATATTACTTATTAATTATTTTATTCTTTCTTTTATAGTAGATCTTTTTCGCGTTGTTTTTTATTATCTTTCTTATTTATATAAATTTCTTTCAAATACTGTAATTTCTATATTAATTTCCTTCATTACTTCTCTTCGTTTGTTTGTTGTTTCTTTCTTTTTAAGAACATATATTGTATATTCCTTTCTTTATTTCATTTTCTTTTTTTTACAAAATATTTGTCCATATCATTTCTTCCTTCTTTTATTTTATTCTTTCGCTCTTCCTTTCTTTCTTTCTTTTTACGTACATATTCCTTTATTTATTTCTTCGCAATATTTCTCTTTATTTTTTCTTTATTTCTTTTACAGAATGTATATTTCATATCAATTCTTTCTTCTTTTATTTTATTCTTTCGCTCTTCCTTTCTTTCTTTCTTTTTACGTACATATTCCTTTATTTATTTCTTCGCAATATTTCCCTTTATTTTTTCTTTGTTTCTTTTACAGAATGTATATTTCATATCAATTCTTTCTTCTTTTATTTTATTCTTTCCTTCTTTGTTTCTTTATTTATTTTTTAGGACACGTATTGTATATTCCTTTCTTTATTTTTTTACATGATCTATATTTCATATCAGTTCTTCTTTCGTCTCTTCTATTATTTCTTTCTTTCTTTCTTTCTTTCTTTCTTCCTTTCTTTCTTTTTTTGAGAACATATATTCTATATTCCTTTCTTTACTTTTTTCGCAATGTCTCTCTTTATATCTTTTTCTTTATTTCTTTTACAGAATGTATATTTCCTATCAATTCTTCCTTCTTTATTTTTATTCTTTCTTTCTTTCTTTTATATTAGATTTCTTTCGCTTTCTTGCTTTTTGTCTTTCTCTTTTTCTTTTTATTTTAAATATTCCTTTCGTTCTTTTTTCTCTACATTCTTTCTTTTTTCTTTCTTTTTTCTTTCTTCCAAACAATATATACTATATATATCCGTTATTTCTTTCCTTTATAATAGATCAATTTCTTTTTCTTTCTTCTTATCTCTTCCATTTACATCTTTTTTTAACAACATATATCTTCCTATTTTCCTCTTTCTTTTTTTGCAATTCCTTTCTTTCTTTTTTTTTCTTTTAAGCAATGTATAATAAATAACGGTTCTTTCTTTCTATCATTCTTTCTTTCTTTTCCTCAATCGTTGTTTATCTTTCTCGTTTATATCTTCTTTCTAACAGTATATATTCCATATTATTTTCTTTCTTTATTTCCCTTTCTTTCTTCCTTTCGTTTTGCTTTCTAATATATATATATATATATATATATATATATATATATATATATATATCCTATTTCATATTATATATGATATTAAATATTAAACTCAATAAGCAAGTCATATATTAACGTTTTTGCCTGACAATCATATCAAACACTCAAACAATGGGACATTATTTTAAAAATAATATAAGAAATATATTTTAACTCTTGTCAATGTTTTTCTTTTTTTCCTAATTTTTATCAGGAGGCGCAAATTTAATTTTTGATCTATCAGTATTAAGCCGAACGCCGATTTTAAATTGGAAGTTCCACGCGTACGTGGGAAAAGGAGCAAAAATGCCTCCGTATCCCACTTGAAAATGTCGTAAATGTCAGGAATTGACCCTCAGCCACCACGAGCTTTAAAACATAGAAGAATAGCGAGCGTCTATTGATGAGCTATTGTTGTATGCAATTCACACAAGGAAATATTACTTCGTCTCTATCGATATTTAATGCCAGTAAGGAACCAATTTTTCAAAGTAAAGCTGATCTGGAGTGACTCTCCAGGGTTCAAGCTAAGACATACCAAATAGTCTTTACACTCAGTGTCACACCAGTGAATTAAACGAGTCATGTGAATCGGTGAGTTGACACTGATGGTTACTTCATAACTGCCAGGTGTAGATTCGAAACAATTTTACATACATCTAATATACAGACAGAGACACATATACGGACACACCCCCTCTCTGACACACACACACACACACACACATATACGGACACACACTCTCTCTCTCTCACACACACACACATACATATAGGGACATGCTCTCTCTCAAAAATACGGACACACTATCTCTCACACATATACACTTATACGGACACACTCTCTCACACATACACACATATACGGAGACACGGTCTCTCTCTCTCACACACACACAAGCACACAAATACGGACACGCTCTCTCTCTCTCTCTGTCTGTCTCTCTCTCGCACACACATATTATCAAATGGATTAAGTCCGACAGTTATTTAATATATTTCCTATTTATACGTTATTTTTATAGATATAATTTATTAATGTCAAATCTCTGTTAATTAATTAAAAAGCATTTACTTAAATTATATATATATATATATATATATATATATATATATGTATATATATAAAGATAACGTATATACATTATATATATATATATATATATATATATATATATATATATATATATATATATATATATATAATGAAATGGAAACCGAAGTGTAATTTATAAACTGTAATTTGGACTTTGCTAACTAGGCTCTTCTTTGAATGGTATAGCAAGTCAGATCAAATGATGGTTTTCGTATAGGAATAGAGTTTCGTTTCCTGTTAGAGAACGCATATTTTCTACGAAATTTCTTGAACATTCAGGTCGGTAAATGTAATGAATACTTTTAATTACAAACAGAGCGTTTACGTAAATAAATTGTATCTATAAAAATAACGTATACACAGAAAATATATTAAATAATTTTCGGACCTAATTGATGTTGTTATGTTTACGTTAAGATATGTTTCCTGAGCAAATATAATCAATCAAAGAAAATCGTCGAAGATTATGTCCTTATAAACAGTAATTCGATTTTTGCTAATCAGACGCTTCTCTCTAGATGAATGGTACATCGGTCAGATCCAATGACAGTTTCCGTATAGGAATTCAGATTCGATACCTGTCGAAGAACGCACATTCTCTACGAAATTTCTCAAATATTCAGGCCGGCAAATTCAGTTCATTATGTTTAATTAAAGCAAAGCATTTTCTTAAATAAATTATATCTATAATAATAACATATAGACAGAATATATATATATATATATATATATATATATATATATATATATATATATATATATTCATGCACGTTCATTAAATAATATAGACAAGTGTTGTCTATTTATTTTATGTAATTTTTCATAACGTTTGATAAGTTTAATAACATTATAGTTGAACGAAGAAAGAAATTCACAATATTGATCCATAATTTTTTTAATAGAATCTAAGCTTTCGGCTTACATAAGCCATTATCAAAGATGTCAATTACAACATATTAAGCAATATACGGACAAGACAGTGATGATAGTCTGTGATTATTTACATAGATGATTTCTAAGCAACGATAAACACGTGCAAATAAGTCGGTAGAAGCGAAAATCGCACCGCATCCCATGACGTCACACATGACCACACGAGAGTGAATTGGAGAAGTATGAAGTATAGGAAGTCGTTGGTATAAACCAATGGCTTCTGTTAACAATTATAGACATTTAAGAATATTTGTAGAGATGCCATAATTGATTTTGTTTAGGTTGGGTTTCAACTGTTTGATGTATAATGCTTCAAGGATTTTATATATATATATATATATATATATATATATATATATGTATGTATATATAATATTTTTTGTTTAAAGGTATGATTCCTTCGCTACATAAGAGTTTTCATGTTTCAAAAACGAGAGCGGAAACCATCCAAATAATTATTAAAACTAAGTTGAATTAAGGTGTTTAGTCCCGTTTCATCTTCAAGCGAATTTTTAGGAATAAGCTATCTCTCGGTTTACGTGTGTTTTTAGGCATGGTCCGTTACAGAATTCGTTATTGTGGGAGTGGCTAGACTATTTTCCTTTGTTAAGTGGTCAGAGAGTTAATTCTTATCAATAGATTCATCATCTTCTGAGAGGTTTTGCTAAGGTTGGGTAGGGTATTTATTCCAAGGCTAATGTTGGCGGTCACCCTTTAGTTGGTTCCCAGTATATATTTATATATATATATATATATATATATATATATATATATATATATATATATATGTATATATATATATATATATATATATATATATATATATATATATATATATATATATATATATTGTGTCTATTTATCCATATACGAAGGGTAGAAAATGTTATATTTATTTTACGATGACACAATTTGCTGATGCCACAGTTTATGGTTGCACCTACAAAAATCTAGATGATCATAGGCAGGCATCTAATCTCTCCGCAAATCTAAGCTCTAAAAACACATTGGGTAAAACTTGCTGGTAACATTCAATATCTCCAAAAGTTGGTTAGCTACGTACCATCATCTCCAAGCCCGTCTTGAATGTTTTGTGTAATTATGTAGAACTTTTGTACTTTCAATCAAGTCCATTGCCTTCAACATCTACAGTGACTCTTCAAAATATTTTACATCGTAATTTTTTTTTTTTTTTGAGATTTAGATTTTTACCGATACATGTTCTACCTATAGCTGAAGGGAGAATAGGTGAATTCATAGACTTTCCAAAGGTTTACTGCGCGTAAGTGACTATCACGATCTCGACTCGACTGGAATTGAAACCCGTCTTGCCGATTTCTAAATCAGAGCCTTTACCTATTACACCTCCCGAACATTCTAGCTTGCATCAACCCGTGATGACCCATCTAGGTATTAACCAGCCTCGACGTTTGTTAACTACATTGATCGTACAAGAACCGGTCCAGTCAGGCCAGTTGGCAATGAATTAAGTTTATGGGCATAAGGAGGATAAAGAAAGGCGGTTCTTTTTCTTGAAGAGGTTAATGTTGTAGTTTTCAGAGAATAACCAATACGCGCCTCTTTCACGCAGGTCTTGTAAAAAAAGTCTGTCTGAATAGATCAATGTTTTTCTCTTGGAAATTTGAAGCAAATGGAGGTGTTTCACTTCCTAGGTAGTAGCTTAGTTCGAGGTGTAAATTTAAGGTAACAAAAATAAAATGGAAC